CAACAAGTTCCCTGTGAAATCAAGGACATGAAATGTTTGAGTCACCCTTCATCTACAGAAAAGGACCCTACTAGGTGCTCAGTGAGTATCTGTTGAGCTAATAAATGGGCTATTAGTAAGCAGACAAATGCAAATTTCTAGTTGTGATCCAGGAGACTTCCTACTATATTGTTACTTAGAAAGCCGATGGTGCTTTTCTAAAACTCTTATCTGTCATGGTTCTGTGGGTTGCCTGGCACCAGCTAGGTGATTCTTGCGTGGGTGTCTCATGCAGTTGCAGTAAGAGGTCAGCTCAGGCACAACACACAAGTTGGCTTTTACTCAAATCCCTCAGCTTCCGTTGGGATGGCTGGAACAGCAGGAGGCGGGCAGGGGTTATCTACCCGGCATCTTAATGGGTCTGATTCTGCCACTGTCCCTGCTCTCCCCATAGCCCACCACAGCAAGTTATCCCCAGAATGCCTCTAGAACAACAGTGAGGGGTTTCCTTGCCCTGCATGGAGGGACTAATGAATGGACAGAAACAAAGGTGAAGGAGGCCGAGAGCCAAGTTCGGGGCAGAGGGTATTTGTCCTTGTGCTTTGACTTGAACAACCATCAGTCCGACTCTGAACACAGCCAACTGGAGTTGCTGTTTGGCACCCCTGGGTTCAACTAAGTCCAGTGGGATTCTCTACCAAAGGACTTTTTTTTTTCTTTCATGTTTTGCTTATTTATTCATGAGAGAGAGAGAGAGGCAGAGGCAGAGGGAGAAGCAGGCTCCCCGCCTAGAAGAGAGCCTGATGCGGGACTCAATCCCAGGACCCTGGGATCATGACCTGAGCCGAAGGCAGACGCTTAACCATCTGAGCCACCCAGGCGCCCTCTACCAAAGGACTTTTAAAAAAGTATTAATGTGCATTATGAATCTCTAAGAGGGAAATGTAAATAGTAATAACCACTCAACACATTTTAATGGCAATTCCCAGCTTACTCCAGAACAGTGAGCCATGTTCTAACAAATTCACTCATAAATGCTTGTTGAGCATCTACTATGGGCCAGGCAGTGTGCTAGGTCTAGCTCATGAAACAAGAGCTGTCCATCCCTATATGTGGGAGCTCAGTAAGGGCAGGGCATCTTACAAATAAAGTTCAAGACCACTGTGTTGGAATCCTTCAGGTAGGCTTAGGACTAGGCTCATTGGGACTAAATTCATATAATACTACAGCCTACTCTTCTGGTAATCAATTCCCAACAACTTTGTCTCAAGCCCTTTCTTTTCTCTTCCTTTATTCCCAAATCTGGCAATAACTGACTTGAGACTTGAGACCTATGCTCTAATACCACCTCTGCCATTTATTCTTACTTAAATCTTCCATCAGTTACTCAGTACCTATTTTCTCACCATTTAATTGGGATGAACAATAGTAAAATAAGTCTGTAGGAGTGATTCTAGGCATGGAGTCTTATAGCAAAACCAGTTACTACAAAACCAGAAGGCATTTTGATATTTTGTTTCACTTGGGATTTGTACACCACTTTGAAGTTTGGAACTCTTGGGTTATGGAAGTCTCAGTAAATAAGTTTTTAAAGTTTAAAGATTTTGAGAGAGTTTATTGTATGTTTGAAATGCAGTACATAAACGTAAGGCCCAGTCTACCCATAGGTGCTTATTTAACACAACTATGCTAGTGCATGATTTGGGCAATTATTCACAGCTGTCTGGAACCAAACATGAGCTGTGTTTCTATATCAAGGATTTATAGATGTCTTGAATTCTATTGCCTGTGTTTTTTCTTTAAAAGACAATTTCTTGGCCACCCTAAGGATATGTTTATATAACTCTTAACACTCTTCCAAGTAGAAGAAGCCAGAGGGGAAGCAAAGTTCTAGGCAGAGCAAAGTGCTTCCTTATACAGTCTTAAATATATATTCTGTGTAGAATTTGAGGAAGCCAGTACTTTCATTTTCAGAGTAATTGAAGCATAGTTTGCGACCCAGTCTGCACAGCCCACAATTACATTAGACTGCTTGAAATGGAGTTCTTGCAAAGCCTACTAGGTATACTCCTGCCATCCAGGAGATGTCCAGTTGTAATGCAGACCCACACCAAGGTTTTCCCCTGACACTTTGATTGCAATCTAATAGGTGATGTTTTTATCTTCTCCACAGAATGTGAATGGCATAAAGTACCACGCTAAGAATGGTCACAGAACACAGATTCGTGTCCGCAAACCATTCAAATGTCGTTGTGGTAAGAGTTACAAGACAGCTCAGGGCCTGCGGCACCATACAATCAATTTCCATCCCCCGGTGTCGGCTGAGATTATCAGGAAGATGCAGCAATAACATGCTGGTCGTAACTGTGCCAAGAAATCCTCACCAGCAGTTGCTGATTTTGAAAACAGCCACCTTTTTTCAGGGGAAGCATTCAGCAACCCTTTAAAGAATTAAATGCATGCTTTAAATTTTTTCTGTAATTTTGGAATGATGTATCTTTGTAGAGTTGATTTTGTACATTTGCACATGTAATCATCATACCCATTTTCATTACTTTGATATAAGGTGCTAAACAAAAAAAGCTCTAGGTTCTTCAGCACATTTCCCCCAAAACAAAATAAAATTGAGGGCATGTTGCATATTATTTAGTTGTATTGCAGTGATATCAATGGGGGGGAGGGGCTGGCACTGAGATTTTTTTTCCCCCAAGATTGTAATGTGATTGAAGTTTTTCAACACATCAACTCACTATGTTCAAAACCAAAATATCTTCACTATCAAACTGGTTACCATGCCTTACATAATGGAGTTAGTATTTGTGAGTAGAAAGACTTTAGGTAATGGAAATATAAATAAGAATGTTTAACATAATATGCTAAAAATATTTTCATATTTAAATAACATACATAAAAGGTGTGCTTTCTGTGTTTTATATTATCTTGCAAATCCTTTTGCCCCTTAAAAAGCTGAAAATCTTGCCATCTGACCATTTTTAGTGTTATAAATGGCATTTTTGTACAGACTAGTCTATTCAGTTCACTCATTAACACACATTCATTGAGTGCCTGCTGGGTGCAAGGGATTCGGTTTATGCCTATTGATCTTTCTGGACCAAGATACCAGTTTAGTGAAATACTTTTCCCTAAAATCTGTTAGGAAACACTTTGAAATAAGTGCAGATTTTGTGTGTGTGAAATTTAGTTCTATCTTCATCCTTAGGTGAAGTTTTAAAGCACTTTGTAGTTCTCTATTGCCAACAGATTTAATGTTTTATGTGTTGCCAATTCTTGCAACCACTGCCCTAACAAACCTCTGGGTTGCAAATAATTAAAATTCCAAGCACGTTTCAAAGAGAACATTTTTCTTAAGACCCCTTACTGCCTCTTCTTCATGCTCATTGTGTTTTTACTTTTTTTAAAGGCACTTTTTCCATCACATTGTAGAGGTCTGTATTCCCACTGGAAATGTCTGTTTAGCTTTATAAAACATTTTGCTGAAATACGAAATTGAGCCTTATTGACAATTAAGTGCTTCTTGCAGCAGGTGGTCAAAGAGTGACTAATATGACCCGTTGGAGTGACCTACGTCTGGACCATTCCTGAAGTTTTTCTCACCAACAATACCATCATGCCTTGAGTATTCTTTTCTCCCAAGTGCTATTCCTTAAACATGCAAGAGTTTACCAATTGCCTCATTATGCAATAAAAATTGCTCTGAGATGGCTAACTGTCCACAAAACTGGTGAAAAGCAAGCTCGAATTGCTTATAACTTTCTTCCCATGTTCCCATTTGATGAAAGTCTTACAGCTGGGAAGCAGGTGTCCCTCAATTTTTCAGACAGTTTGAAAGGATGACAGTTCTGCTGGCCAGATGGGTAAGTTTCTATATTCTTAAGTTGTGAACCCCTCATAATGAGGGATTTTAAAGTATTTATAAAGACACTGCCCTCTAAAAATTTCCTCAGATCTATGAAGAGTGGTCTTGGTCCGGAATATACAGTGTTACATGTTTAAAAGGGTGATCCAGACATGAGAAGCAACTAGGTGGTGCATAAGAAGGCCCTACTCGGATATTTCATATCTACCTACAGTTGACCAAAATTTTTTAGGCCAGCAATTATTATTTAGCTTCGCTCCTTCTAGTGCAAGAAAATGTAGGCTGGATCAGTAGTTCAACAGCTAAACAGTCATAAAATAGTCATTGTGCATGTTAAATTTCTTTCAACTATAAAATTCAATTTCTATTTGCTTATTCATTGTGACAGTATTACTAAACAGGTAAGGATGGGAATATTTTGTTATACCGTGTATAGTGAATGTATTGTACTGTGTCTGTGAAAACTGTGCTTTAAATTATATTTTCGTATGTTTTGTTGGGGACAGAGCACATTAAGTTTGAAAGCAACAGAGGTTTGTTTTAGAACTGAAGGCAACTTAATCAAAATTGCTGTCAAGAAAAGCTGCTTATAAAAAATGTAAATGAAATCACATTTAAAATAAACTGCCTCTGACCCAAAATAAACATGGTTCTTTATTTTTATTAGCGTCCATTACCACTCTAATATTGGAAGGATACTTTTACGGTTGGCATGCTTCATAATTAACTGATGCAACACGAAAATGCAACCTTTCACCATATTTTACCTGCATCTCCAAGGGGGGGAGGGAAGACGTGGAGTCTTTGGCACTACTGCCTTCCAGTCTGCCATGTCTTGTTTTGCTCTACACTCAAAATTATTTTTAAAGGATTCCAGCAATACAAATTCTGCTTGCAATTCACAGCACACCGAAATGCCACCACACTGAATATTAGGTTAATATCCTAGCTAATTTGCTTAAGACAAACTTAAATATTGTGATAACTACAAAAGAAGCAAAATCAACGTCAGTAAATTCTTACTTTCCTATTTTAAGAGAAATACCGTTCAGATATTTGTTTAAAGGCCCAGACCAAGGGGGAAAAAAAGTTTAGACTTAATGAAAAGCTACCGCAAATAAATTTGACAATGAAATTACACATCTCCAAAAATGTGTCCTCTTTAATGAGAATACAGACATAATGAACACATTGATTTGCGTTTATAACATCACATTTTTAATCAAGAAAATGTGAAAAAGATATGGATACATTTTCTGTGATTTTATGCCACAAACACCACTGTTTAGTAGATCATTTAATATCAAACAACTGCACTAACCTATCTTGTTCCATTCTCCCATTAGATAGAAATACAACTTCAAGATGGCTTAAAAATAATTGTTCAGGTCATTCTAAAATGTTTGTCATAAAATTAGCAAAATATGCCTTCTATTCCTAAAGCAAACATTTCAAATATAAAAAGGTATTTGCTCTACTGAAAGCATGTGAACTCATTCTACGTGCAGTTCCATTTCTAAAGAAGGTTGAAAAACCATCCTTTCATAGACTAAATTATGGAAGTTTCTGTATTCAAAGAATTACTTTGCTAGACTATAATGATAAATTACTTTTATTACATAATATTTAGTAGTCATGCTCAATCAACAAGGTCAACAGAAACTTGTAAATATGCTAAATGACACACACTACATATATTTTCATTGTGGTAACATTAAAATAATCCATTGCCTTTATTCATATAGTTTTGCAAACTGGGGAATAAATATACAAACATAAAAACTTTTCTTAAGCTGGTAAGATTAACGGGTTACAATTTTATTTGCTGATAAGCTAAGCTAAAGACGGACTCTGACCCTAGTAACACAAAACTCAAAAGTAGCGCTTGTTCAAAAAAGTGTGGTAGAGGGCGCACGGAAATGATACCTTGTGGTCTCCATAGTGGTCTATTTGAAGTGTTTTTTTTTTTTTTTTTAATTGCTGAACTGTATTACTAACTCAGAATAAAAAGTAACTAGTCAAAATTTAAAACATTCTGATCAAAATGGGTCTGCACATGCCTTTCAAAGCCCTGCTGGTCATAGTCAGGAGGGAATTGCTCGCTGCACATTGGGCACACCTTCCAGTGACTTTCAACATGTTCTTCAAATTTGCTCTGATCATAGTTGGGAGGGAACATTAATTCACAGAGGGGACACTTCTTGTGAACATCAAAGCTTGAAGAAATAGGAAAATGAAAGAATTATGTATTTCTAATAGCAACAATCTTCAGGATATGACAATGTTATATTTATCTAGTCAAGCTAATATTCACCCTAAATGACTTACCTTGAAAGTTTTCAGTTACTTCAGAAACCTCTTTCTGCTAAAATACTTGCTACTGACAATTGTGTAAACTACTGATAAAGCCTCTAAATTGAGTTTCACAATTAGAGTGACAAAAACATTTTTGTTAAAATCAGGCATATTATGTAAAATGAAGCTTATTAACAAGAATTTTTCAATTTTTAATTAACAGAAAATGCCTTTTGTAAAACTATAAAGATTAATAGAACTTATAATTTCCCAACAGTATATTCATTCAAACTTTACGAGTATTTATTAGCACTGGTTCTCAAAGTACTACATGCATCAGAATCACTGGAAGGCATGTTAGAACACATACTGCTGGGATGCCTGGGTGGCCTTTAGCTCAGGTCATGATCTCAGGGTCCTGGGATAGAGCCCCCAAGGTCGAGCTCTCTGCTCAGCAGGGAGTCTGCTTCTCCCTCTCCCTCTGCCCCTCCCCCCTGCTCATGCTCTCTTAAAAATCTTTAAAAAAAAAAAAAAAAAAACACACGTATTGCTGGGACCCACCCCAAGAGTTTCAGGTTCAGGATGTCTGGGTACAGCCTGATCATGTGCATTTCTAACAAGTTTCCAGGGACCATACTTTGAGAACCACTCATCTACATAACCCAAATTCTACACAGGAAAAAGAAAAATTACCTGGAATCAAAGCAAAAGCCTGCTCCATGCCCACGTAAGTGCTGACTTGGAGCGTCAGGAGCAGTGGGCACATTCTCCTCTTCCTAGGCAAAAAATAATTTTGCAACTTTTGAGAAAAGTGACACTGAATATAAATTCCTTAATTCAAGCATAGTATAAAGGAATTAAGATTACCCTTTCTAAAATTTTACTTCTGTTAGCAGATTTTCACATAAAGGTTTAAGAGTCAATTTTTACAGAGCATTTCACTATGGACTAAGTCTTACCTTCTTGAAATAAAAAGCAATGCTTAGTGGAACAGAGAATACAGCACACCTGTATGTGTGAATAAAGTAGGGATCCACAGACTTTTTTAACCTTTTGACTTTATCATTCCATACATGAAGTGACCACTTTCATAAAAATCTTAAGACTGCATTATTTTTCCTATTATTCTCATTTAATAAATTTGCAAGACAGTACCCTCTTTTGACAACATACATCCCATTGCACGACACAGAAATTCTAAAAGAAAACTAGTAAAATATGAGTTTGCATGTGTATGTTCCTGGGCACACACAGGCTAATCAAACTGGAAAACCATGTTACAGCTATGTACCAAACTACAGGCCTCAAAACCCTGTTGTGAAAGAATGAAATTCAGTATTAAATATCTAACAGATTGTCAAGTAAGATTCCTAAAAATCTATAAATCTGAAAGAAAACATTGGTTTGGATTTTCATATCGACACATCCCTTTGGTCTTTTGAAGGCTCCACATCCAGTGTGGAGCCCAACGTGGGGCTTGACTCACGACCTTGAAATCAAGAGCTGGGCATTTAACCAACTGAACCAGCCAGGCACCTGCCCCGCTGTGGTTGCTTTTTAGAGATCTGTATGCTCTCTATCAACAACCAAGTACAGAGACTCACTTCACATCAAAAGGAGTCACATCTCCCAAATGCCCATTTGCTTCTTCCTGAGCAGCTCTGTTAGCTGCTCTCATGTTATGAACAGTCTATAAATAGGTACAGCAGGCACTGATAAACGTCCTTATATTGCTGGGTAGTTATGCTCATTCCAGAACTGCTATTAATGGGCTAAGTAGTCAAGTCTGTCATGGTAAGAGGTACCAAGAAAATGTATGTGGTGTGAAATTCGAAGGAAACAAAAAACAAACTGACTTATCTTGTTGGGGGGGTAGGTAGGGGAGGATACTTGGTTATTATTTTGATTATCATCCCTTCCTGAAAGGTCCCAGAAAGGGTAAGGGGCTCTTTTTTATTTTATATTCATCACATGAGAAAATATTTTTGCTTATATATGATTCTCTGCTAAATAACCCAGTATGTACGTATTTTTTCAGTGTGGTAACATTAAAATAATCCCTGTTTCCTTCATTCATACAGTTTTGCAAACTGGGAAATAGATAACAACTTTTAATCTTTAGTAAGATTAAAAGAGGTTACAATTGTTTTTATTGATAAGCTGAAGATTGACTCTGACTCTGACCCTGGTAACACCAAACTCAAAGTAGCTCTTGGTCAGAAAAGTCTGGTAGAGGCGTGCCTGGGTAGCTCAGTTGTAAAGCATCTGCCTCCGGCTCAGGTCATGATCTCAGGGTCCTGGGATCGAGACCTGTGTCTGGGCTCCCTCCCTGTTTTTCTCTCCCTCTCCCACTCGCCCTGCTTTTATTCCCTCTCTAGCTGTCTCTCTGTCAAATAAATAAAATCTTTAAAAAGGGAAAAAGAAAAAAAAAGTGTGGTAGAGGGTACACAGACGGGATACCTTATGGTCTCCATCGTGGCCTATTTGAGGTGATTTTTTCTTTAACTGCTAAACTGTATTACTAACAATAAAAAGCAGTCAAAATTTAAAACATTCTGATCACAACGAGTCTGTACATGCCTTTCAAACCCATGGTAATCACAAGTTGAGGAAACTGCTCGCTACACAAAAACAAGATAAATAAAACCAGCCTAATGAAGGATTGAGAAATTGGGGAATAGAAGACTTTATATACTTTAAGTCTACAAGTAACTAAAATTCAGACAGGTTTTAAATCTGTAGGTACAAAGAGGTAAGATGATATAGCTGAATCATCTAAACCTAGTACGTATGACAATAAATTTTTGATTGTGTGCCACAGTATTCTAGCTGCCAGATTTGGGTCTTCCAGCAGCAATACTTGAAACAATGAATTTGCTTAAAGAACTACATATAAAATAATGACAATGAATACAATTTCCCCATTTATCTTTGAAAAAAAGAGGCAAACTTTAAAATTTTGAAAAGCTATCGAACAGAATAATGGAAAAGAAAGGGAAGGTCTTGATGCTTAACCATCAAAATTCTTGATGATGGATACTTGTAATAAAACGCCACTTTCAAAGGACCAAAAATATAGCCTACACCAATTTACTGCTTTCATGAATCAGCTAACAATAGAGTTTGCTGCTCAAGTGCTAGACTGAAACCAACCTATCTGACCCAGTTAACCATCAGGCGGAAGGGGGGGAAGCAATTTTTTTTTTTACCTTTATACTTTCTAAGCCATATATAATTTGGTAACGATAACCCCATAATTCATATCTTCTACCACCTATTAGCTAATAAAAGGGGAGAGGGACTGAACAGATTTCTAGATGTTATAACGAGACATAAGTGCTCATGAAGTAAGAAATCACCTACTCAGTTCAAAACCAGGAAGTGTGTCTTAAGTTCTGAGTAGCCAATTCATATAAAATCTGGTGATCCTGACATGCGAAATGACCAAATTTTCACTCATGAATACATTTATTCTATTTTACTCATCAAGCTTGATTAATTTCCAAAATCATACTGGATTAAATATAACAAATTAGACTGGAAGTGAGGTTACACAGGCAGGCCCACTGTCAGCAACAAAAAATGGCTACTAGTAAAACAGAAAAGCAGACAAGAATTCAAAACATCCAATAAATATTTCAGCACTGGATCACACAGCTTTACAAACAAAACATGAAGACACTGTTTAATGTTGATTTTTAAATTAATAAACTAGAACAATCAAGGCGTATTAGGTATTCTTTAAGAAGGCAGAGAATCACATATTCTGAGAAACAAACAGTTCTGCCCCAAACTGCTAAAATAATTACATTTTAGTACTGAAAACAGTCAATGCAAAAATATTTTTGAATAGGTTTTAAAGTACCAGTACCTAGTCTGTTAGCTAAGCTGCCAAAATAATACCAAACTGAAATATATTTATGAACAATCCCAAATAATTACATCTTAAGAAAACATTTTTAACAGCATTTTAACCTCCACAAAGATCTAAACCACCTTACATTGTTCATCTACTTTGAGACCCATCAGCACAATACTATTTCTACCACAAAGGAAACAATCTACAGTAATCTACTGAAGCTCTATATGAAACTCAAAAACTTATGAGATGCCCAACTCAAAATCTAGTCTATAAAAATTCTTGGGGCACCTGGCTGGTTCAATCGAAAAGAGCATGCAACTCTTGATCTCAGGTATTATGAGCTCAAGCCCCACAATGGGGTGTAGAGATTACCAAAAAACTTAAAAAGTAACCAAGAAAAATAGAAATAAAAATATAGAATTACGGTTGGGGTGCCTGGGTGGCTCAGTCATTAAGTATCTGCCTTCAGCTCAGGTCATGATCCCAGGGTCCTGAGATCGAGCCCCGCATCCCTGCTCCGTGGGAAGCCTGCTTCTTTCTCCCACCCCACTCCCCCTGCTTGTGTTCCCTCTCTCGCTGTTTGTCTCTGTCAAATAAATAAAATCTTAAAAAAAAAAATAAATTACGGTTTTCTTCTCAAAGTATACAACCAACTTAAACATCTGAAATAGCATTAAGATGCATTAATCTCTTGGACAGTAAGAGAAATTTATAAGGTTAATCATACTAAATTCAAAATAAGGTTTTCAGGGGCACCTGGGTGGCTCAGTTGGTTAAACATCCCAACTTGATTTCGGCTCAGGTCGTGATCTCAGGGTCGTGGGATTAAGCCCCATGTCGGACTCTGAGCTCAGCACAGAGTCTGCTCCAGATTCTCTCTCTCTTCCTCTGCCTCTGCCCTCCCCCGACCCTCCCCTTCCCCGTACACACACTCTTGCTCTCTCTCAAATAAAATCTTCAAAATAAGGTTTTCATACTAAATTAAGGTCACTAAAATCATACTAAATAGGGTTAATCATACTAAATTTAAAATACACTCGTGATTGTAAAAATATACCATATGATACAGCAATTCATTTCTGGATATACCGTGCAAAAGAATTTAAAGCAGGAACTCAGACATACCTGTACACCTATGGTCGTAACAGCATTAGTCAAAACAGCCAGAAAGTGGAAACTCAAATGTCTTATTAATGGGTGAATGAACAAAATGTGCTATGTACAATGGAATATTATTTAGCCTTAAAAAAGAAATTCTGACACATTACAAAAATGGATAAATCTTGAGGACATTTTACTAAGTGAAAAAAGCCAGTCATAAAAAAATAAATTCTATAGGATTCTACTTATATGAGGGACCAACAGTAGTCAAATCCACAGAGACAAAGTGGGATGATGGTTGCCACAGGCTGGGAAGAGTTGAAAAGAAGAGTTCTGGAGATTGGTTGCACAACAATGTAAATGTACTCAGCACTACAAAAATGGTTAAGATGGTGAATTTTTTGTTACACGTATTCTCTAACTATTAAAAAATGCAATCATGATCAAACTAGCAATATACACTCAGGAGCTAATGACTAAGTTATACCACTTCAATCATTAGGATCTAGACAACAGGACTATACAATCAGCATATATCAGACTGTGCTTTAATTCTGCCTTTGCTAAAGAATTATTAATGGGAATATTTAGGTTCATTCAGGAGTTAATAATGTCAAGGAAGAAAGGTCCACCACTTAGTAAACCTTACCAAGTTGATAAAATTACTTTAGTTCAATAGCTTACAAAACATTTGCTTAAGGCCAAAGTTAATGGGTAAGAGAAAAAAAGAGTAACAATGACTGCTGAACTATAGAATATTTTTTATCCCTGAAAACTTTATATTATTATATAGTATTAGTCAACATTCTTTTT